ATCAAATATTGGACTTATCTTAGTGTGGTGGAAAATGATGATGGCAACATTAATTTGGGCCAAAAAAAAGTAGAACTGGAAGGGGATGGGCTGAGGTTTTGCTGTTTCTGGTTTTGCAATATGCACATGGCATTACCAAATCAAACACAGGTAGGTCATAGTTGTAACAAATCATATGTGTTTGTTTCATAATCAGATACCATTTTTAAAAATTAAATCCGAGTATTTAGTTCTACAGAAAGACAATATTGAAAAACTAGGTCGACATACCGAACATGCCGGTGTGTTCTATTAAACTGATATTGATAATATATCAAAAGAAAGATAGTGGATCTTTCTATAGATTTTATGAAAAATAAGAGTGTAATCTTTATATTAGCGATCTTAACTTAAAATGTGAAATTATGATAATAAAAATTTAAACAAATTAATGTCTTGACAAAACACTCAAGAAACAAAGTAGTGTAAGTGTATAGCTGTTCTGGAGATAACCATGCAAACCATAACTTGAAATTCTGTTGCAGAATAATACTATATATAATATATTATATAACATGAATTGGAAAAATGTTCTAAGGGATCTTGATCAAGTTTACAGGTTAAATTATTTAACCAGCTTCTTGCTTTCTTGTTCAAGTCATCATCACTCGTCTACTCCTCTTGGCTGCAGCCCAAACCCTGTGGCATCCGATCTTTTCATAATCCTCAACCTCTTGCATGACTCTATGAACATTCTGCAAAACCAAAGTATCCAAACCCATATAAATTTAAACTGAGACATATATGTAAGTTTATAAATGAGATATAATCTAAGTCAAAGATATGAACGTACCCCCAAGGCACATCTCCGGCGAGCATCCAATCTCCATCTTTGTCTTCGTATATGGTAACGTATTCGCAGTTATCACCATCTTTCAAGGCCACTCCTGCACATATATATGTATATATTTATTAATCGTGTGCTTGATTATATTGCGATAAATAAAATAAAATGTAATAAGAAAAAAACAAATGAATAGCAACTCTCTAGTTTTTATTCAGAATTTTCAGATAATATGACACGCTTTTGGAGTTAAACGAGTCAGATTATCAAAAGTATCAATCAGAGATTTCTACAACTAATTTTATACCACCTACTCTGAAATTCCCTTGATGAAAAAATAAAAGATCTCAACAGTACTCTTATTAAGTTTCTAACATCGCTAATGCAAACACAACAGTACCAATTGATCTTCCCACATGTGTTCCTTCTTATGTATTTCTTACAGTACGTGTAATATATAGAAAACGCTTTGATATAATCAATCAGTGATATTTCTTTCACAATATCTAACGACACTATAATTACCGAAAAACATAAACAGGGAATTAATGAATTTACTAACCGATGCCGCGTAAACCGAAGAGCGTATCGAGAGCAAAGGCTAAATCATCGTAACCTTGGCTCGAACCAAGATCCATCTTCCTCAAGTAAGGCACACCATCCATGCTCACTTTCACATACCCTAATCCCACTTTCGTCGTCGAAGTTTCCTTACAGCTGTTTTTCCTCCGGTATGAGCAAACCGGCGGCCACCCAACCACCTGACTTTTCGCCGCCGGCGACTCATTAACCTTCTCCACGTCACCACCAGATGAAACGACGCCACTTTCGCATTGATCACTATTACTCGCAGAAGACGTCATGATCATCTCCGTGAAAGCTCTCTTCTTCATCATCTTATCCGCCACATCTCTCCCTGGAAGACCCAATCTTAGCTCCGTTATCTCAAGCTCGAGTCCATCTTTCTCCATTTCTTGAATTTTCTTTTTTTTTTTGTTATTCGATATAATTATGAAATATGAGAACTTTCTTCTCACACACACTTCTCTTATTGTAGTAATGGTGTACTACCGCGTCGTGCTTTTTATATGTTGCTTCGTTGGTCCACACGATTAAAGCCAATTAGAGATCGACACGTGGAGTCATTTGATACCTAAAGTCTTCCTCTTTCAGTTTGTGTGGGGAGACAAAGTGGGGGCAGAGACAGGTCAACTGAGGATGCGGTGGTCGGTCACATGAGAGACATAAGTTTGGTGCTGTTTTTCAATTTTCTACAAAATTAATAAAGACCGGCACTACAAGGTGGTTAAGGGAACAGATCCTACGGTTGTGAAATTTTCTTGTGATTTTTCTCTGACCGTTGGATTATAGGAATCCGAATCTCCTTCTCCTAACATCCCATGTGTTTTTCTTTTGCAAAAGATTCTTGTTCTAACTAGTAAATCACAACTATAGTATACCTTTTGTTCTTCTAATAAGTTATGCTATTTTTTTTGTTATTTTATACTTGTATAGTGAATAAAAATTAACGTTTAGTCTATTTGTTCACATTTCTAATAACAGCATAGAAATATACATTAAATCCTACCATTTTGGGATATGTTATTATATATATCACCCTTTTCTTTAATTAGTAATTAACGACATTTAGCTTAGTTAATAATAAGATATATCTCGATCAGCAGTGATTTTGATTAGTCACCGCATTATGGAAAGAGTAGACACACAGATACACTTTGTATGGATCGGTACCAAATATAGTACGAGTGTAGTTCCGGATTAGACAAAAGTAGCTAGTAATTAAAGTAAAGCTGTATCTAATAACGATCGATTTGGTATGCCTTTTGTTTTGCTTCAGGTTCGAATTTCTATCAAACATATCCTTACAAAATTAAAGAAATTAATAGCTTTTAAGTTTTGGTTTGATTTTTCCTTTTTTTTCTTTGGTTTATACTTAGATTTGAATTTTAAATTACTCTAATCAAATTAAACTTTGGTCCATGCATTTTTAATCCGATCAGATCAATCTGGTTTTTACAGATTTAAAACATCATTTGTAAATCTTATTTGCAGTCTACATGAATTACCAAATGAATATATAGCAAGCCAGTTTGCAATAGATCTCAGTTTCGACTACTAAGACGATAACCAATGCATTAACACATTAGGGTTCTTCATGATACACGCATCTCCAAAGTTGGTATCGAACCAATGACTTCGAATGGAGTAAACTAGTAACGAATAGGTTCAAACTCGGTTAGACAGACCCGCGTTGTTGAGTTGTTGTCAACTATCTTTAGGTTCATCATACCAATAAAACACAAGAAGTAATGATGGGGCTTATAGATGTAGGGACACGAGAATAGAAAAGAAGATCGACCGTGTGTATGTGTGTGAGTGTGTGTGGGTTCACTCCTGTCTACAAACTTTGATTGATTGGTGAACAGCAACAGGTTGGGCCACGTGAAATTATATGAAATACAACCACATAAAGAGAAAGATGAATCAATATTCCCATACTTCTATAGTTTTAATTTTAATGTTTCCAATGGCTAACAAACGAAATTTCTAGCACCAAATCTCTTTGCCAAGAGTTAGTATTGGGTATCAGGGTTTCACCGAAACGTATGGCTAATTCAAGGAGTGAGTTAGCTTTTTAGTAAAGAGTTTTCCGCAAGTCTATCACGGATAAAGCATCCGAGTTGAAATCCAAATGGTCCATACGTAAAGCTTGCACATATCCAGAAGCTGTAGCGAGTTTGCGCCATTAGTCCTAAACTCAAATATCATTGTGCCACTATATGCGAGTTTGTAACGATGACATTTTCTCAAATCCAAACGATGGTCCGACTCAAAACCTGTACTTATTGTACCATAATTATTAATTTGGTTGGTACATCATTTGAGTCGGAGTAATGTTTTATTGCACAAGTCTTTAAAAATCATGGTACTATTGTTAAACAAAAATTATTTGAACCAAACAATTTTATCTATAACCCCGTTTTTGATAATATTTGCAACAGATTTACAAAGCGTATCTCATAGATATATAGAATTTGATAGTCAGATTCAACAACACTATAAACAACACATATATATCGAACCATTGAGATGAGAAATGTTCTTCGGAATAATCAAGTCGTCTAATTAAAAACTAGTTCCAAAAGAAATAATGCGTTTAGTATAAATAATTAATATCTTTCAAAAATATATATAATTTAAGTTTCATGTGCTTCTACTCCAGTTTCGATCGGAATACTTTTGTAGTGATTGTGACCTGTCTCATGTTTCTTATACGTTAGGTCGTTATCCACGATTCTCATCTTGCTTATGTTTTCGGTTACTTAATAAACTATTACAAGTCTCAAGAGTCATAATTATGTTCTAAATCCCTTATACATTCACAATACATATCTTTCAAAAAAATCAAGGGAAGTTTATATATTTTTGATTAAATGGACAACCAAATTTAAATTACATTACGACTATGTTCCCACGTCGATAAGCAGCGTAATATAGGTCATAGAAACCGCAAACGCTTTTTTATATTATTACTGTCAGTACTCATTTATATTATTTCATATATAGCACACAAAATAAACAATTTACGTGTATATAGTCAGAATCAGGAGAATATTTGGTTGGGAAGCATAAGGAAGATTACAAACCAATTAACTATAAAAATGATCTTTTTTGTTAAAGATTAAAACCCAATCTTTACCAGAATAAACTCATGCAATAATACAATTGTGATGACAGAACAAAATGCTGGTAGAGAAATAGCTACTGTTGATATAATACTTTTTCAAATTCATCATTGTTTAGATCAAAATTTTAAAATTATTAGTAATCTGTAGAAATTAATTGTCTTTTTGTCTAATTTTTTTTTATAGTTGTAAATGTGTCCATGAAAATAGTTCTAGAAAAGTAGAACTACGAATAAATAAATTTGGTATTTTTTAAAAAAATATGTATTATTTTCATTGAAAAGTAGTAAAACATTAATAACTTTTTATTCTTCTCGAAAACCATAAAATGATCAACAAAAATCTTTTTTTTTAATTTGTATAGAACATTGTCCGACAATTGGGTAACAGGCTATAAAAGGAAAGCACGAGTGTTTAGCGGACGCATTAGTCTCTATAATCGAGCAAATAATTATTTAACTCAGATATTGTTTAATTATACGGATAGTCGTCGGAGTCTAAGATACGTTAGAATATTTTACGAAAGCATATTTTAAACAGAAAAAAATGTGAACGGCGTAGGATACAGAAATACATATGGAATGGCCAAGCTAAGACTATGGATTGACTTGACTCTATTCCATATATTGGATGGGCTTTTGCTTCGCTAGCTTATTAACCCAACTTGAATCTGCCGACAAATGTCCCGTTTATGCGGTTGTAGTTTTGATTACATACAAGAGTTTTATCTTTATTAAAAACGCATAGCAATTAAGAAAGAAAACCATATACTATAATACATATGAAATTGGCGTAATAAGTCTATAGTAGAAAACTAGTTTTAAAGTACTCTTGATCTTCATCAAACCCGACGCGAAGTAGCGCAGTTCCTGATCCCAAAAGTCTATCGAGCCACTCCATTGTCGTGTAAACTAAAGCAAAACCAAATTATACACATCAATAACTTGTATACTACACAAGAAAAGATTGAATGGTCGTTTAAATCGATGTTTTGCAAATTTAGTGGCTAAAATCTGTTACTCACCTCGCGGTTTGTTAGAAGTTTCCCACCAGATTTTGAACACGGTGGACAAAAGAAGAAACACGGTCATCAGAACATAATAGACTTTGATAGACATTAATTAGTTGGAGATAAGTACTAGAAACTGTCAGAAAACAATAATATATATATGCTAAAAGGTTTTTTGTGTATTATTAACAACTAATACAAAGAAGTTTAGGCTTGATCTCTAAAACTTTAGATTCTAAGGAAAAGGCAAGAAGAGATTGGGTATAACCGAATGTATCCTAACAGAAACAATAAAGACTAGATATGTAAAAAGAAGTGAAGAGAAGAGTTGATTTATATAGACCTCTTCATTTATTTATAACATCATTTTTGTTGATTATTGACCAATGACCATGTCAAAACTAGTTTGGTCCTTACATCTTGCCCCTCAAGACACGATAGAAAGACTTACTTTTTTATTTTTGGTACAAAGACACTTACTTATGTCATGTCCCACGTTGAAAAAAATATTTAAATCTTTTTCGTCCATTGGACATTTGAACCCAACTTTACTTCCACCACGATATACATAGAAAATAGACTCATGAGAAGACTGATGTGATATGATTTCAGAATATTGATTATTAATTATTTGCTTACCACTTTCACCCATATGAACGACGACTTTAGATGAATTGAGTCTTATATAAATTCACATTCGAATTTAAGCTGTATATATAATCAGAAGTGAATAGATCATTAGGTTTTTTTTTTTTTTCATGTTGCTTGAAGTAAACAAGTTCATTTGTATAGCATGGTTATCCAAAACATCATGCAATATAGCGCAAGAGTATAGAATGTAGACAGTTCGTGACAAAGAGTACGAAGTTTCAACGGACTAGGCCGGAAAGAGAGGAAGATAAAGCCCAAAAAAAATGCAACCGATTCCTTAAAAACAAGTGTTGGGTTTCTAGCTCTTCTTCCATTTTCTCAACGATCTAAAAGAAGTAAAGCGAAATATTATTCAATTGTTTTTTTTTTCACAGAAGTATTTTATATTTTAAAAAGCCCTTTTCTTACATCATTTTTTTAAAATAGAAAATCACTTAGAATACAATTGTGAAGGAAAAAGTAATACGATTAGTAAGAGAAAAACAATTATAATTTTCTAATGTCATATCTTAATTCAAGCAAGGTCCTTACATTTGGGAATAAATTAGTGTTTGGTGTCATATTGATTACGTATTACTAATAGTTGGTGTGAAACTTACCCTTTTTTATAACTGAAGAAAGTTGAGGAAGTATCAGAAAAAAAAAACATACCATTATATAAGCCCTATTATAAAAATCAGGCCAATATATACGCGAAACTGAAATTTGGGGAAAAAAGCAATGAAAACATGTAAACTAGAATATCAACGGTACGATTTAAGAACAGAGCCACAAAAGCTGCATACGATGGCTCTCCAAGATCTGCGATGAATAGGTATTAAACAGAACCTCGTCGACGTCTTCATGTCGGCGACTCTTGCACCACGACCGCACCTAGAGCACATTCCCGCCGCCGGTTTGCTTGCTTTCATCTTCCTTTTCTGGTCCACCAAGAAACAGAAACACACCATATTCTCGATCCCTCTTCAAGTTCAGAAATCAAAGGCAATAGAAATAATATTCACACAGAATTTGTAATCAATCGGCTCTAAAAATGTTGTTAAAGATGCAGTTAGGTTGGAAATGTACACGACGACGTGATATTGCTTAAGTGATGCAGACGTGTTTGTCCTGCCTAGGAATTAGTAATTACGAATATGCTTCGAGACATTATATATCATCTGAAAGAGTTTTTGACGTGCTTACACATGTACAACTCCCAACTTCTAACCGAAATTTTCATTTTATTTTAAATTTAATATTAATTCCTGTTTTCATGGAGAAATGAGTTCTTTATGACTCTATTATATATAGTATTCAATTTTTATATATTGGCGACGTTCGAAGTTAGAAGGGTGACGCATATTTGTTACTGCCTCTGTTCTTAAATAAAAGATGTTTTGAAGTTTTTACATATATTGGGAAAATATATTGAAATTAAACAATAAATTTATTATTTTTTGTACTTACTGATTTTCTATAAATCTAAACCAATATTAATTCAATAAATTCAAATTTTTTTTTGAAATTTATAATTTATCAATATTAACTCATAAAAAAGACATAGAAAAGCTAAAATATCTATCTATTTAAAACAAAAATAAATCTTAAAAAATCTTTAAAAGAGGGAATATTAATTACGTGAAGGCGATGTACGTCATTGATGTATCAACAGGTTTATGGCACGTGGAAAAGCACAGTTGGACGTTGAGTTTGTGATTCATCTGTTCCTTATCGGAAATATGGGTTATGAGAAAAATCCCATTCTCCGCCTTAAATTTTCATATTCGATTTTCTTGATATTCCTTAAATTTTCATATTCGGATTTTCTTGATATTTAAATTCATGGAACTGGGCCTAAAACATAATTAAAGCTTTCACTCCTTAAAAGTTTGTATAATTGGGCTCGCTTCTGATAAGCTCAATGTCTGAAAATTCCAGCTTTTTGTTTTCCTGGCCATGGATGTCAGCTTCAGTCAAGTTCTCCAGGAAATTATCTTTCAATTCACTCACATTTGTAATTTTAAGGTTATGAATGGTTACATCTTTCAATATCACTTTTTGTCCGCTCTGTAAGATCTGAATATCTCCTTTAAAGAAAATATAAAGATTTGTGGGAGAAAATATAAAGTTGTTTTTATTATTAGCCGGAGCTCGAAGTGTACAAGGAATTTTAGGTCGTCGGAAAAGAACGCCGACCTAAGTTTAGTGAGTAAAAAATCAAGATCTAGAACTGGAAGCAGTAAGCTATTATTTGTCATATGTCTCAAGTCTGAAGTTGTCAATGAATCATCTTCGAGGGAGGGGGCTCTTCTTGTATAACCTCCGTAGACCGCCTTGAGAATAATCCTTCTCTTTCGGGATTATGATAGTTTCCTTTCTTCTCGGGATCTTCTTTCCTTTTCTTCTGCGATACTAATATACCTTCGAATATTTCCATATTTGGACACCGACCTAAACTCGGAAGGGAAGGTAAGGCTTCAAATAGGTCTTGTCTCAATTTATGAAGGGCTTTCAGCAAGAGGTGCTAAATCCATCACTAACACGCTTTGCTCTACATTGTAATTGTTGGGAACTTAATTGTGTACTTATGTGCAGTGCGATAACTATAACAAATGATATGTTTTGAATGGTTACATTGCTAAAAGTCAAATGGATTGACTATTGAGCATATAAAAAAAAGTATTGACAAAAATGTAATGTCACTTTCTTTGACTGCTCTGCTCTTTGTTGTAATTAAGTATTGGGTGGCCTAGTTGTGTACTTATATGCACGATTACTCGAAACAAAAAGGTCACTTGTATTCTGCAAAATTTCATAATTATATTCCAAAAAATAGAAGCAAAATGGTCACGACTCACACAAGTAACTGTGTATATCCACCATTACTCAAAACAAAATGGTCACTTGTATTAAACTAATGGATAATTTTGACGTTAAGACAAGACAGTGTTAGGTACTAATACAAAATGACACAGATAAATGATTAAACAAGCAAAGTTGAGACTGTAGAGTTATAAGTCAACGACGTGTTAATTAGGTCGCTCTGCGTGCGTTTTACCAACTAATCAGGTTGCTACTTCGTAAACTATTCTTAAAAGACCTTTTAGATTCTTTCTAGTTATGCTGTTGTTTGGTTTGACCAATATTATTTTATACATAAAACGTCTATCACCCCTACCAATTTGAATTATTTCCATAATCTCCCACGCTTGAACAATCATCCAAAGAAAAATACAACACGTCTCTCCTTTTCTTTTTGACATAAGATAATAATAGGGTTCTCTTTCTCCTTGGACGTGAAAAGTATTTCTTTTAGTGAATATCTTAAAGAAAAATGCATTGGACCTTAAGGAAACACATAGAAACAAAAAAAAACAAAACCATGTAAAAATGCAGAGATATAAAAGCTACTATAATTTTAGAATTTGTTATCCGTTAACATAAAATACATTTCTCCGAGATGTACGTAATGTTACACTGAAAATAATGGTGAACAAAAATAAGTTTTTGACATTTGATAAGATCTTAGAAAAATAGCTTCACATACCTTACCAAAATTGTGAAATGATACTAGTCCTGTTTAGATATATGTGAACACAGGGCACCGACAATTGATTTAAATTATATAATGAGTAGTTACAGTATTTTAAATAATCTTAGTATTTCACCGTACTCTAGAGTTATTCGATATAGTCTGGCAAAACGTGTTTGGCGAATACAAGAATATCCAAAAGAAACAAAAAAGCCGCATGTAATATTACGTATTGCTATGATATTATAATGAATCGTTGGTTTAGAAGGGCTTTTAATGGGGAAATAGTATGTTAAACATCACTTATCAGATTAAGTTTACTGAGTTTGAATGGATTATCATTATCCTGATTAGAGCTATTGGTTAAGTTGTGTTGCTGACTTGCTGTCATGGAATACCATGAGGTATATATATTTACCAAATTGTTCATTTTCACTGATGATAAACTGTAAAATTATACCTTTTGTAATCTAAAGTTTTCCACATACCAGTAAAGAAATTGTTAAGACGGTTTTTGGAAATTCAAAGTAACATGAGCTAGTTACTAAATCTACATTTGATGACAAAGTTGATTTGCTGCAAAATTGTATCCTTTGCGATATAAGCAATTATCTATCTGTGGATGAAGAACATGCTCGATGTAACTACCAAGGTAAAACCACAATAGCTACCACAACGACAACAAATATGAAGAACATGCTCGCTAAAGGTGCTAAAATGTGCTAACTGCTAGCTTTCTTCTGTTTTGTCTTCTGGTCAGATCTTTTTAATAAATACTGTCTGAATTCATAGTGAAATTTGAGACCAAAGTGAATTCCCTGACAGCAAAAAACGTTAAGATCATTATTTGTGTTGTAATCGTTATATGGCTTAGATATGATTATGATGTTTCTCGAACCTGAACAAGTCTGCTTATTTTCAACATCTCTTATTACTGACGTAATAGTTAACTAAGGTTTCCATAGTGCATCACTGGCCCCTGTGACAATAACAGTACGTACGTCTTTACCACAATCCACCATTTTGTTGGATAACCTTCATGTACTTTTTTTTCTTTTTAATTTTATCGTATTCAAAATCGATCGTTAGATTATTATTTTCCCTCTGTAAAGTAGACTTATATCTTGGATATATAATAATCATTTTATAAAAATGAACCAAACGAGAAAAACATTAAATATAATTCCGATTTCTAGCCTCGGATCTTCGACAAACATAACTATTAATTTATTAAAAAACAAAAATCAACGCGTTTAGTCTTATGCGTAGTCCAATATTCTCAATAGCTATCTATTCGAG